AATAGATAAAAACAATGAATTAAATAGACAAATTAATTAAAAATAAATTACCATTACCACCGGCCCCGTACTGCAGAATTATAGGGGTTTGGTTTCCATGGTGTGCCCTATAATAGACTGTTACCAAGTCGGTTAGGACTCTTCAAAATTCGTATTAACTGACTCAAATTGTTTGCAGTGCAGAGACGCATTTCAGGGCTGCGGGTGCAAAGTGCTAGCATAGGGCGCATAAGGACAAGCATTCAGCGATCGACTTGTGGGCATGGATGACTTATATGGCCGCCTAAGCAGGACACAAAATAGGAGCGACTCGTCCACTTAAAATAAGTGGTCTTGTGATAATTTTTAGATAGGCTAAATATTCCTGTGTCTTGATCCTAACACTTTAGCTTTAACTTCAGCCCTACCCTTAGCCTAAGCCCCACGTTTAACACGAACCCAAATCTTCGTCTTCAATATAATCCTGACCCTAATCACAACTCTGACCTTAACTCCAACCTAAACCTTAACCCTAAACACAAACAAAAATGTATTGTGTGGATGGTTCCTGTTCCCGTCTGCTATTTAGGTGGCCACACCAGTCATTCTTACCTACACGTGTTACTAAAAAGACAGGGGAGACCAAGGTAGTTATTTCTTTTTGCTTATTACACTCTACTCCTTGCAGCGAGGGCAGTTGAATGGTTTGCATTTTGGCTATCCTCGTATCCCCAACTTTTTGCAGGGCCCATGTTCGTCTTGAACCTCTCTGAGGGTGTAAAACTGTTTAGTTCATTTCCCCCACTCTAGCCTTACAAGAAATGACTACCCATTCCCTTGATGCCCACAACGGTATTATTTTGGCCTTTTTGTTTCACAGCCATTCGTCATCTGTTCTACGCCCGTTTCATTGCCCACTTCCTCTACGACCTGGGCATCACTCCGTGTCGGGAACCCTTCCTCCAATTTCTGCCCGTTGGCCTAGTTCTTGGACAGACCTTCACGGACCCCCGGACTGGACGCTTCTGTGCGCGGGAAGAAGTGGAAGCCGTCACTCTGCCAGGCGAGAGTAAGCAACCGCCTTACTATCATGCTGCCGCTCAAGAGTTTCCTCCATTGGAGACACGCAGCCCCCCCTCACCACATATTTTTTTTTACCGTCAAACTACCTATTAGAAGGTAGGGGCTAGCATCGAAGGGCGACAACAATACCCACGATCCTAATCAGTCAATAGGATCAGCCCCGCATCTTCTTGCTTCATTATTCAATTTTTTATTCCTTCTTGCGCCTGCGTTTGCCACACACATGCGCACGCAAACGCCTCGTGTTGACTCCAACAGTGTACTCATCACTGGCCAGGCACACACTCCACTCGCTCTTATCACCTGCATGATCCAGATCATAGCGGTGATAGTGGCTCTGAAGCTAAATGCTCGTTCGCACGCATGACTCCCCCCCACCCACGAAGATCTCGGTTTAGAGAGTGGCGGCCAAGATGAGCAGTCATTACCACGGGAGATAGGATCTACTCATTCTGATGGGATAGTTTTGCCGCGGCCGCCTTCAACGGAGATCACCTAACGATCTGAGAATGGGCAATTTTGCCAG